TTTATGAACGAGCGGAAACGGATGTGCGGAGTCCCCTTCCGTATATTTTGGCGAAATTGAGTCGACGAAAGCGTTTTAAACACGTGCGCGCACGTACCGGGCACAGGCCGCCTGATCGCCAACTTTCCTCGTCCTCTTATTGTTCTGGACGAGAGGACGGAGACGTCGAGTGCTCACGGTACAGCGCGCGTTCCCAATAACCGAGAGATGCAGAACGATCGATTGACCATCGCGCGTGAAATGGAGCTGCCTTCGGGCGCGAGCGCGGGCAACCGTTGACAAAACGGATTGAAAATGAAGTTTCATCCAGCGCCGTCATTCAATTAAATATTCAAAAGCACATTCGAAATTCAATATCGGTTTAAATAATATCAATATCATTGGCAACAATATGGATGTCGGTTCTCCCGCGACTAGCGTTAGGCTCGGAACGAATAACGGATAAATGTCGGTAAAACGGAATTGCACAAACGAGAGCGTCGGCACAATCGAAATTAACAAATTTTCGCGTTCTACGGGACGCAATTAAATTTGCAAAATTACCGAGTAATGAAATATCATTGATTGAACGTGAGTGGAGACCTCACCTGTTACGTGTCAACCGTCATCGTAAAAATTAAATGTCCGAGGGTAAAATTGGTACCGCGATAAGTGAGGTATCGTATTGCATAATTGAAGAACTGACTGTTGACGACGAGCGGGCGTTCCACCGGGGAAGCCTTGAGAGCGACGAGAAATATCTTCGGCGGTTACCCGATTGTATTCGCGAAGGATCGTTTTCATCGCTGCCCTCGTTGCGGGCACGCGATACGTCTTGGCCGTTCCGTAATTAGTCGAGCCGAAATCTCGTTAAAAGCAGAGCCGGAGTACCGCGCGGGTTTATTTGGAAAAAGGGCGGGCGCGCGGAGATGCTAGCTAAAATCGTACCCGCTGCGTGTGGGCGGCCGTAACCACGTTCCGCGCTAACAGGTTCGTTATGGTCCGCCCGCGAAGTGCGGATCGCCAAACGACGTTGTAAATTCATCTCGATAACGTGGCCGCGCGAGTAATGCGCGTGGCAGCTCACCAAAGCGGTATGAGCGACTGCGCGTGAACAGGACACTTAAACATCCCTTGCCTCCACGTAGGTCTCGATAAGCGCAATGGAATTCGAGCACAAATTCTGGCGGCGAAAATGTTCTTTTTCAAACCAGATTGATGTTTTCGTCTCGCTTTGTTACGGTAAATACAGCTCCATTCGCGTGTCGTTGATATTATCGCGCTTTGACACTCTGTTATATTCAAGAATAAATGGAATTTTCTAAGCAACCGAAATGAAAAACTGAAATACAATAGCGTGATAGAAATTAGTATGAGAAAACTCATAAATTGGTAACAATTGTCTATGTGCGAAGAAAGCGGAGCCTCGACACTTGCGAAATCGCGTGACTCTTTTCTACAAGATCTTCTTTCGTTTGCAAGAAAGACGAGGAAACTAATGTACTCTCTAAAAGTCACTCGGTGCATTATTACTGAAAACAGTGATAACAGTGATAACTGAATATTCACTGTTTTCAATGATAATCCACTGACTTGACTTTTAGAGAGTGTGCAAAAATTCAGGTATGACAAGAACGTACGCGTTACGATCCAATTGGAATATTGATTAACACATTCTTATTCCCCGCAGTTGTACTTCATGCAATTACCTGCGATACTTTTATTATACGTCGTCGAAGGTGTGCGCGTGCTTTCAATGTAGAAAATTAGCATATTTGAAAGAGAGATATATATCGAGATATATACACATATATATATAAACGCGGAAGGGGGGGAGTTACAGCATTCAACTGTCGCCACCCTCATTCAAGTAACGGCGCACGAATGTCGTAACACGCGATAAAATATCGCCCGTAGAACTCGCATGCATACGCGAATGCGCTCCGTTACGCTTTATTTTCCCTCGCTTTGCCAACAGACAGCCGAAATTATTATATTCCTACGTAAACACGAACACAGATGTAGATATGATACGCTTTATACGGCCGTAATCTTTTACGTGAAATTATATGTTCGGCACACGTTTAGCACGAAACACCCTCCGTATAGTTTCCGGCTAACCGTTTCGTGCTGCTCCAGCAGAGCACGAGATCTGGCGCATTTACCTCTCGCAGATCGATCCAGGAGATGTCGGTGACCGAGGCGTATCGGGAGCGTTCCGGGGCAATGAGACGACTGGCCGAAAAACAGCGATATTGTACCTCCCGGATTCTGGGTTACGACGCGACGGACAGACGCCCTTGTGAAAATATTATTTCAACGCGTCTTCGCGGACCTTGTGGACAGGCTGATATTATTTCAGGGCCGAAATAACGAGGCTGTCCCCTCACTCTCTTCCTCTTCTTTGTTGGCGTTGACGTCGCGACGATATCTGGCCTAAACGGTGTTCGAAAATTCTTTCAATGTGAATGCCCGACGACGGAAATTGCAGGTCGAGGCGTTTCACCATAGGAAAACGTACATAAGAAGGCCAATAACTTTGACTGAATATTATTTACCGCGTTGATTTATACTCTAGCAATTTTTATAAAAATAGCCTTTGGTTATCTGTTTATTCAATTCGAGCTCACTCATCGAAGCTGAGCTTATCTTTTAACGCGTCAATGTGATAATTGAATAACACAAAACAAATACCCAATGACATTCGTAAAGTCATAATGTATTAATTATTCTGCCTGCAAATATTACGTTTTTTTTTGTGACGCTCTGGGCGATTTTTATATGCTTCTGCCACGTCGCGTAAGAGAGAAATGGAAATAATTATTTAATTGATGCGATCTTATGGTAATACGGCGGGTTGCCAACCTACGTTCAAGAACAGAACGGGGACTGTCCTCTCCGTTTAATCACTCCCAGAATGAATTAATCATGAGGGATCAGTGGCTGCCAATCCTCTCTCACAATTGCAGCGGGGATCCATGCGCGGCTGATCTAATTGAGAGGAATCTTTTCGCCGGAAGGCGTCGTCGGCGCATATCGCCTTTCAGTAATCTTGATTCTGCGAATGGACGAGCGTATGAGAACGCGACGTTGTTTTCAATCGATCGCCGATTCGGGTCGACGCGAGGCCGACCCCTTAAAGAATCATATTGCACACTCCAGTTGTATCATTACTCCCTCTATATATTATTACCGCGGGGATTGATTCCTCGGAGAAAAACAAATCGAATCGCCACTATCGCGACGGGCCGCGCGCGACCTTTGCCGTCAAGACAAGGGTTGCTTGTGTGCTCCGCGGCAGCGTACGGGACGTTTCAGCGACGTACGCTATAAATTTTTTATGCCGAACTTAAAAAGAATTCTCTCTGATAAAAGTTTGACGGGCGGCTCTAGAGACATCTCGGCCGCCAAATTGTAAATCTCGACGTTGAACGGAGAAAATGCGATTGCCATTTTATTACAATTCGTACTTTCGACTTGTATGCAGTTAACGATTTGTCAATTTCAATAACTTGCACTGTCGTACGATTACGCGGATTTCGTATTCTTGCGAAAACGATCGACTCCCATTTGTCAAGTGATTTGCAAACGAAGGGAACAGCAGTGGCTCTGTAACACCCTCTGCGTGCGTGCACGTATGCATAATGAATGTATACGAATGCAAACGCAATGGTCGGGGCCGATATCCGACACCGCCAATGAAATCTCAATTTTATGACTCCGTGGAGTCGATATAGCGCTATTATGCGACGTTTTTCTCTCGCGGGCAACAATAATTCGCGCTCCGCCGGGTCGAGATGGCGGTGCGCGTTTATTTCAATAACGAAGCGTGATTAACACTCGCCCCGCGACTACGCAATACAGATTAATTATTAATGGAGGAGCGAGCTGTCGGATGGACTAATCGTCGAAAGAAGTGAAGAGCATTTCGATGTCGCTACGTGGCGTAAACCGCTTTCGAAATGGCCGCACATGGTTAATTACCAATACCCCGCTCTCTAGAACGAGGTTGTAAAAACTTTGTATTAAATTTTCAGATTTTCTACCGTGGAGCCAATTGAAAATCGATCTCGCGCTCTTTAAATCCGTATCGCCCCTCGGTCTGCGCGGAGGGCAGCTTAGAGTTCAAGTCATTACGAATGCATAATTGTCGAGTGCTGCAATTGACTCCCAGACTGCGTTGAAACATTAATAAACGGATCTGAAATGTTCTCGTAAATAAACGAGTTAAATTACCAATTCAGCCAGATGCACTTTGACTATGAGACGGCTAAAGAGACCGGCTGTATTTCTAGCTTGCTGCGCTCCGTCAATGATTTAGAAAGATCGTTCGATAATTTCACCTGAACGGCGAGTATCTCGAGCAATTTCGCTTAATTAATTGGACATTAATTTCGCGACGCAACGAGCCAAGTTCGTTAGGTGCGTTCACTACGACGACGGTCGGGCGTTACGCCGCGGCGACGCTTTTCGTTCGCGACGACGTTGCGACGATCCAATTAGAGGCGACGCGCGTAACTCGATCGGTTGATACAACGACAATTACGAGCGACTACAGGACAGATCTTTATCTCTCGGGCCAAGTAGCCAGACTGCAAACGCATAACCCTCGGAGCGAACCATAAATTCGAACCGCACCCCTTCTGCCTGCAGTCGTCTCCTTCCTCTTCAGCCCCATTACACGGTGACTCACGTTACGGGGGTGGTTCACCCCCCCGACTTGGCTGGCGAAGTGCCCAATGCAGTCGTTGTCTTCTTATCGCCGAGGCTGCTCAAGGAATACGAAACTTTAGCGATGCGATGAGACTTTGTAAATTGAATGAAAGATTCTTGAATATTTCCTCTTTAACGCAAGGCACGGCGGAGAGATTAAAATTTATTTAATGCCAAGTGAAGATTCTACGTGAAATACTTTTGATACCGTAACATCGGGGACAATTACAAGTTCACTTGAACACAGACTTCGCAAACAAACACGAACGAATGGAAAAAAAGTAAAAAAAAAATGCATAAAACGTTGCTTGCTAATTAGCGGTGCGTACATTTGTATTCGTAGAAATTGCGCGTAAAACATATTTACAGCTTAAAGGTAAATGTAAATCGTTGTCCTTGCGACAGTCGCCACCCGACGGCGATGAGTTCGCAGACTCATCCGCGAGACATCGGTGCGTCACGCCTTTGGACGTTGCGTCGAAGAAAGCACGTAGGAAACTGGAATAAGAAAAACGAGCGACGCCTTATAGACGAGTAGAATCGCCGTCGTAAGGAGAGCGGGAAGCAACTGTGACGCAGGGGAATTAAATAATAATAAAATGTATTAAAAATCGTATACATTTTGGATATATACGCGTATGTACACGCGGCCGTATACATATACATATGTACTTACGTATATATATGTGTATATGCATGTATACGCGTGTATACGCAAGCATGTACACATATATATATACCTGTATACGTATAATTTTATATATTTGCAACCGATGACGGTCGATTACATCTAAGGTTACTATGGCAACGTAAAAATTGTACAGAGCGGTCGATGGCGATCGCGCGTGAAACCCGTCGCGCCATCCAGAACGTAAATGACGAAATGAGAGAAAACGCACAAAACGGACGAAAGTAACATAAAGGAGGGAGGCGAAAAGAGGCTATCCGATATCGCGCCCCGGCCGTGTACGCGGAAGAACGAGCGGAGCAGCTACCGCCGGTCTCGAAACACATTCGTAATACACACAGTATTCTCCTTTTTATTGACAATTAGTGTGACAAAAAGTGGCTTATACAAATACTTATAAAGACTCCTCTCACCGGTTTCTCTACGCCACTCGTCGATGTCGCTCATCGAACATTCTCAAATATCCGCGGAAGAAACTCGCACTTCCGGCATTTGCACTCCGAACTCACATTTCCCTTTGTTCACCCCCTCTTTCACCCTCGTGCGATATCGCTCGTTTCCTCCCCCCCCCCCCCTCCTCGCTTATTGGCGTGATATGTGGACACTAATTGTAAGACATCTTTACTCCCACTAATTTACAACATTACGTGTGTATGTTCCGTTTTGGCAAAGGTTTCTAAACCGTCTAAGACACACGACGGTTAACGCATTTAACGTATTGACCGCCACGTCACACGTGTCATTCATGTACGAACGATACTTGCTGTTCTCGAAGGCGCACCGTCATTCAAATATGAACGACACTAAATTTTCGTTCAAAGTCGCTCGATGATGTTTCGATGGCGAAAGAGTGAAATCTTGCAATCTGGGAATTTGTCGCGAAATTGAGTGTCATTCACACATGAATGGCGCGGCAGTCAACGTGTTAAGTTGGATGAGGCAGTTTTCGTTTTTCAGTCCTTTTGCTTGTGCTCTGCGCTCGCAACATCTCGTAAAGAAGTACAGCGGGCAGTGATCCAAGATTGTCGTGTCATTGTACGCTTCAATCATCCCCATTTCTATACGGTTGAAAATCAAATTTCGCGTTATTGCCTTATGATTAATCTTACAGGGCTCTAAACGGGATCCCTGAGTCACGTTGAATACGTTGTCCAAAATTTGCCCAAATGTCGCGTCATATATTATTATGGAATTTTTTTATTACGTCCGATCGTAGTTCGCTTACGAGATGCTCCAAAATTTCGCTTTCTCTCTCTGATTCTCCTCTACGATTTCGGTTCCCGGTACTAGAAAAGGTTCTGGATTAACGATATTGCTAGTGGCTGGCGTATCGTCACGCGTGTAATACGTACTTAAGGGCTGTCACTTCCACTGTATCCCGCGCGTAATCTCGCACGGGGACTATTTCTAGATCATCGGGATTTACATGAGAATTACATACGCGCGCGTGCATAATTTTCTTCTACTTACTATGCTTCGGGGTGAGCGTAGATTTCCTTTCGCGCTCCTTCGCGCCCCCCGAGCAAGGGTCGGTCGCCCTTTTACGTACTCGCGCTATCACGTCGGCCACCCTTCGTGACACGTGCGCAAAGGAGCCGACCACCGCGCGAAGTACAGTAAAAAAAAAAAAAGAAGGACGTCGCGTCTCTCCTGCTCTCGGTTATTATCGGTTCCGCACGACGGTTGCGACTCGGTGCGGACGCGTACGCGAGACAAGAGAGCGCGACGCGCCCTTACTTATCGTATAAAAAGATTCGAACTAGTACACCAACGTGTGTTAAATTACGTGTGATCTTCGCGAGGCAGACCTATTTTTATGTAATATAATATATCTGTATTACACATTCTGTGGACGCGTGCGGATCTAGTTCCGCGACGATTGTCCGCTCGTGGCAACAATATAACGCTCGATCCTACCATACTTGCGAAATCAGATTAAAATCTGTAAAAATTATCGATTAATCCGAATCGCGTTGCTCAATCTGAAATTATAAATTATATTTATTTAGCGTAAACTAAAAAATATATAACTTTCATACGTATACGATTCACGATGAGATTTACATATTTATAAACTAAAATTTCAACAAAAATAACATATATGCCGGATCTCATCAGCCTACCTCAAACTTTCGTTAGCGGAGATAAAATTTGTCGAGTTTCAACGGCTCGATCTTAATGGTAGAAGCAACTTGACGAATTTTAATTAATTAAATGAAACAAGGGGGATGTGTCTGATTAAATCTCTCAACGGACCGTCACAAATTGAATATTAATCTCGAGGAAAGTTGGCGAAAGCGGCGTATTCCAGTTCAACATTGCATAACGCGGACCAATTAGCGGACTTTTCCGTTTATATCGAGTGCGACAAGTCTTGTCGAATAATTGCCTGTGAAAGGAAACGACATAGCACTCGCCACAAGCGCAAGCGTCTTTCGCGCCTTAACACCCTACAACGAGTCTGGCGACTGTTTTCTTTTTATTTACAGCATCGGCTAACATCTAAGAACAGTATTTACAGTTGTCCATTCTGCCTGGTTCGTTTACTTTAGCATTCGTCCTGTACACTTCGCTTTCCCTTCATCGCGCGTCCACCGCGAGCAGCGGTCGCCTGCTTTCGATCGAGGCTACTTTCAAAATCACGCGACCCCTCGATCGCAAAGGGCGGCAGTGGCGAGGAATTGGTACGAGAGGAGGGACAACCTCTCCCGGAAAGAGGGATATCTCTCGGCGCGCGATATCGAGGAACACCGTGGCAGTTTTTCTGTTCTCTTCCGGGAACGGGAAGGGGAGTGAAAGCAGGCTGCCGCTTTTCGCGTACGCGCGTGTGCATCCCCCAACATGGCTCTTTTTTAATGGCTAGATTAGATAAATAGACGAGACGATACACGTTAGACGGACACGGTTGGCGGACCTTACGAGCACCGCCTTACGAGAATGTAAGAAAGATTAGAAAGAGAGAGACAGATAGATAGATACGAATAAAGATAGAGAAATCAATCGGCATCGTTCGCGCGCTATCCTACGCACGCGCGTGCATTCCTGCGCGTGCCAAGTCGTCGAGTCTACCTTTTAAATCACAATCTCACTATACCGCGAGACACTCGAGCGACCCTCCCTGTCGCGATATAACACCATCGATCGTCATTGATTCGGGTCAGTTCCTTTGAATTCGAGCGGCAGGCTGAAGGCGCCGAAGAAGATCGTCGATCGTCAGAGCTGGAGAGAGGATTCCCTTGAGATTCCCGCGGGAGAAGACACGTACAGGCTAAATACGTATATCGGGTAATCGAGAAGCGGCCCGCGGAGGACGCCGTCCGACGCTCGATCTCCACGTGGCTCCTCTCACACTTCCGTAGCCTGCGTGTAGGAGGGCGCGATCCCGTGCGCCGGCGTCAGCGGCCCCGTCGTGGACGCGAGCGATCTCCTGGAGTAGATGGTCGCCGCCGAATGGGGCGTGTGCGGCGCCGTGTGCGGCGCCGTATGCGGCGTCGCGTTGTGCCTGCGCGAGGCCGAGGCGAAGGGCTAGATGGGCCCGTAATTGCTGAGGGCGGAAGGCCTCTCCTGCTGCTGTGACTGCTCGACGCATCCAGCGGTGTTCATGTCGCCCCCCGCGGACTGGTGACGTCATACGTGCGAGAGCGGCGGTTGCTTGAGTACGTGATGGTGCAAGTGATGCTGGGACGCACTGGCGACGCTGCCGGGGGGCAGCAGGGCGCTGCCCGGGCCCGGCGCCGAAGGGTACGGCATCGCGATCCCCCGGCCCACCACGCCCTTGATACCGATGCCGCTGCCGATACCGCTGCCGATACCGCCGGTCACGCCGGCCACCATCCCGGCACCGGCGCCCATGTGGCCGCGGTCACCGCCGAACAGGCGCCTCCATAGCCGTTTCCAGGAATCGACCGTCTTGCCGCTCCAGATCCAGACTCCCGAGGTGATGCCGACCGCGAGAGCCATGAAGTACTTGAGCATCAGGATGGAGTAGAGGGGTCTGGCCCGTGGGCGGCAGGGACATGCCAGCGAGCTGAGCCACTCGTCTCGCAGAGTCGACTCGTAGATGTGGCATGCCAATACCACGCCGGCCGGTAACGTATATAGTACGCTGAACACGCCGATTCGTATCATCAGTTTCTCCAGCTTGTCTGCCTTAGCGCCCGGCTGGCGCTTGATCACCGATCGAATTCGGAAGAGACTCACGAAGCCGGCCAGGAGGAAAGTCGTGCCCAATAAAAGGTAAACGAACAGGGGCGCCAGGATGAAGTTGCGCACCCCCTCGGGGGCGACTGTGCAAACCCCCGCTACCGGGTCACCGGCAACGCCACCCGCGACATACGCGCAAACCGTTTGCAAGGTCGGGAACAGCCACGCCACTAGGTGGAAGTATTGCGAGTACGACGCTATCGCCTCGTTGCCCCACTTGAGACCAGCCGCGAGGAACCATGTGAACGCCAGAATAACCCACCATACGGAAGAAGCCATGCCAAAGAAGTAAATCAGGAGGAAAACGGTGACGCAGGCGCCCGGGCCCTGGGCGCCCGACTTCAAGGCCGGGCCGTCGCAGGCGATCTCTTCGTGGCCGAACATGCTGCGCGACAAGTACCCTAGGGACACGACGAAGTAGCAGGCCGAGAGGAAGACGATCGGTCGCTCAGGATACTTGAAACGCTGGGTGTCGATTAAGAACGTGGTGACGGTCACGAGAGTGCTGGCGGCGCACAGGCCGCTCCAGAGCGCCAGCCAGACGGCCGCGAACTCGCGCTCTTCGTTGGTGAGGAACGCGCCGCGGCACGGTAGGGCACAGTCCGGCACCCCCGCGATCTCCTGGATGATGCTTCGGCCGATACCGCCCATCGACGGCGGTGCCGGCGCCGGCATTATCCCACTTACGGCCATGCCGGCCAAGCCAGCCCCCGCCGCCGCCGCCGCCGCCGCCGCCGCCGCGTTGGCCCCGGTGCTGCCGGCCCCGATGACGCTGCCGCTGACGCCGCTTATCGCTCCTGACATCCCCGTGCCAGCCGCCCCCAGGGGCACGAGGGGCGCCCTGCATCTGCACGCGCAGTCCCTCGTCCTCTCCCCCGGGGGGTGCTGGCAGTTTTTTTGATTCTTGCCCGGCTTGCAGCGGGCCGGCTGCGAAGTCTTGCTGGGCCGCGTGGGTCGCGCCGGCGGGCCCGGCGGTACCGGGACGCCGTTGTTCGCCGCGCCGCCGTTACCACCTGGGCCCGTGCCGGTGCTGCTGGTGCGGTTGTCCTGTTCCATGCACAGGTTCTCCGGGTCGCCGTGATAGGGCAGGCGCTCGCACGCCATTCTCTCCGGCCACGAGAAGCCGTATTGCTGCATCAGGGGCGCGCAACCCGTTCGCGCTCGCTCGCACACGCTACGACAGGCCGGGAGCGGTTTCGTGTACTCCGGCAGGCAGATTGGCGCGTACATCGAGCACAGGAAGAACTTGAGATCCGCTGAACATTTTATCTCGACCAGCGGCCAGAACTGGTGCACCTCCAGGCCGGCCTCATCCTGCGTGTCGTGGTTCAATTCGTTCGGCATGGCGGTGAGATTGTAGCCGATACCGCGGCACATGGGAATCGTGATCTCCTCGCAACGGCCCTTCCCGTTGCCGCTCCCGATGCCGGAATGCCCACCGCCGCCTCCATTTATACCGGCATGGCTACCACCGGCGTTGCCACCGACACCACCGATGCCGTTGCCGTTGCCGACACCGCCGACTCCGTTGCCGCTAGGGCTGGAGCTGTCGGACACCACCCCGATCACCGACGACGACGAGGACGAGCTGCCGGACGAGGACGAGACTCCCGATCCCGACCCGACGATGCTACCTACCGGATTTATCGCCGATTCCGGTAGTACGTTCGTAAACGTCGTCGCGAGCACCAACAACGTCAACAGGCTCGTCATTGTTCGCGCGGGAAATAACTTGGTCCGCCGTGCGGGTCTCGTGCTCAAGGACGTGCGGCTCATGGCTGCACGGCTCGCATCACGGCAGCCTGCAACAGGAAACAAAGAATATCCTTTTACTGTTAAATCCACGGCGGGATTGCTTGCGTTGTGAGAAGTGTGAGAACGTACGGCGCAATAAACTATTTTATTCCTCTGTAGAGGTTTTAATCTACGGTTACATAAAAATCAACGAGTACTGAAAGCAGAGTATGAAAATATAAATTTCTATTACATCTCTCTCTCAATAATTCTCTCGTATATTACACGAATTCGCATGAACAAACCAAGTTTTTGTTACCGAATGTTTAAAACACCAGTTATAATAATAATAATTCACCAGCGGATATATCAACGCCAGTCAAGAAATTAAGAAATGAAATTAAGCGTGGAAACGACTTTACTGACACTTCTTTATTCATCACAGAGTCTGTGTTCTAACTCCGATGACTAGACACATTGTGCAGCGATGGTTCTAACTTTTGACATAATTTCACATCTTTAATTTCGACGAACTTTACATTTGCGGGTACTTATGTAAGTTCGTTACCTGAACAGGACCAGTATTACTGATAGAAACGTCGTAAAGTTATTACAGAATAAAGAAGTGCCAGTAAGCAAGTCGTCTCCACGCTTAATTTTATTTCGTAATAAAATTCCATAAAGAATCTGTAGCTCCCTACATTCGACGGGCCTGATTTAGGATTCAATAACAGTTTCCCGGCATCAAGAGAGCAAACATCAATTCTCGCTAATAGCCCGTTCTGCGAGCAACTCGTAGGGACGGAGGGAGTATTTGCCGGAGATGGAGTATTCATCACGGTTTCGGAGAGGCTGGGCCCAAGTACGTTCGAATTTAATCTCGAGCGAGGAGCGCGACGACCGGGCGATCGGTCGACAGAACGCACGCACGCAAGCACGCACGCCACGCATGCACGAGTCTCGCTTCGTTTGCAATCCGGACTATTAAAGCAGCGCGGTGGCGTAACCCGGCCGGGGTAACTCCCGAACGAGCCGCGTGTATCCGCTCTTTCGCAAAAGTCCGAGTCGGCGATCGATGCCTAAATAGCCGGCCGGCCGGCGCGCGGGATGCGTCTGGCGGGCTCGCTCGTTCGCTCGGTCGACCTTAACGAGCAAGGGCGTAGCGTCCGAATGTCTCGTACATAAATCAACGTCGTTGCCCCGATCGTTCGCTAGATACCCGGTTTCGAAACCGGTACGCCCGCCTCTCGCGGAGCTGTGGGGTGTCGGCTCGAGAGCCCGGATAAATTCACGAATAACAAATAACGAATGAAGAATAGAGCGCTTGCCCGCGACTAGGGACAGCTCTATTCGAGTAGGAGCCCTTGGTGCGTCGCATATAAATGTATCACATTCGAATGACATTTTATTCGAGTGCATTTCGGGGAATCAGCGCGATCGAGTTGCTTTCTCGTGCGTGCGATGCTTCCTTTGATCTACGAACTGTCGTTTTTACCGAGTTTGTTGATATTTTATTAAGTTGCAACTCAAGTTTTACACTCCTACGTGACTGGATACATTTTTTATATAGAGGAAAGCTGTTATGAGGTAAGCAACACAAGATAGCAGGTCTTCAGCATCCAAATTTAATCACAATTTTTATTTCGCAACGTTTGCACGATCCAACAATGAATTTTCCACCAAACAGACTTCACTCCAAGGGCAATAAATGCATGATGGAACCAACAGATGATGCTTAGTAATTTAGAAACCCCGCTATCTCATGTTAGGAGCCTGTCTATACATCGAGCACATCCCTTAAGAGCGGCGTTACATTGGGAAGGAACAAATTGAATTGTCGCATTTCATCAGATTACTTTTCGCAAAGTTGGAAAAACATGGTTTGCATTAGAAATCGACAAACGAAAGCTCGCGAGTAGCGAAAGGAGTGAAATTCCACAATCCCGTTGCCTTCAGTGCTTCGCTTAAGGGGATGCTAGAGTGATTCTGCACTCTTGGTACCCTTTGCTCCTAGAACTGTCAATTCGTGAAAACATTTGTGTAATATACAAATTATGTGGCTTTTGTGTACGAATCGACAGTGTTACGCTATTTGGACTTAAATCAGAGAACAGCGTGATATCATTGAAATTAAGTTTAGAAGCCTAACAAAAAATCTATTCACTCGAATAAGTTACAGGTTACCCAACCTATAACTTATTCGAGTGAATAGACACAAATGTTTTCACGAATTGACAGTTCTAGGAGCAAACGGTGCCAAAAGTGCAGAATCACTCCAGCATCCCCTTAATGACCATCCTCTGGGTATAAATTGTACTATAACACGAAACTACGAGTATAGTGTTTTCGTTCAGCGGGAACTCATTAAATTCTTCCGCGGCGCTTTGTGTTTCCGAAGTAATTTGAATCGAACGTCACTATCGTTCGATTATGGCGAGGGAAAATTGTGAATTGTCGATAGCGAAACGCGGGCACGAGTATGTAATTTGCGATCACATGACTAATTTCAGCGGCTTATTAATAATCCAATTTATAATTCGGACGAAAATACAGGGTGTGCTAGGACTTTGTCAAGTAGCGTATCATCAGCCTTTGTACGCAATGCAAATAAGCAAAGCTGCATACAATTGACAAGATAAACGAACATTTATTCGAAGAATGCAATTCATGACGGAGACTCGAAGGCTGTCGGAGGAAAGGGAGTGGAGGGAGCGCGAGAGGCTAAAGGGTACAGCGGGGACAGGACGAGGCGAGACGACGGGGGGGAAAAGGTAGAAAGAGGGAGGGAAGGAGGGGCAAAAGGCAGAGAAAGGAATCGAAGCAGTCATGGATCTTATAATAGTCGAGCCGCGGAAAACACGTGACCGGAGCGAAATGTTATCGTAGGAGGCAGTGTTAGTTTTACCGTTTTGTTAACTGCTAGCGCCTCGACGTAGCGGGCGTCGCTATTTATAAGACGCCGGCCGTCGTGCGTGTACCCGCGTTGGAATTAAGGGAGAAGAGAAGTCACCGGCTACGTGTGTGGCTCGAATCCCCCCGGCCGATACGGCCGATTGGCGTTGCGCGCGCGCTATAACGAAATGCACCGGCGCGGCGCGGCGCGGCGAGATGCATCCGCCGCAGCTGCGCGGAAGCGCAGAGGCCCCCGATGCCTCTCAATAGAGACGTGTGCCCTTTTGATTTTCGCTTCGTTACGGAGTCCGCTTTGGCGCTCGGAGCCCGTCAGCGTATTATCGCCGTCTCCCTTCGACAACGACCCCGCGCCTCTGTCCGACAATATTACAGAGAATGCGTTATTATGAATCGCAGCGCGCGCGCACCGCGCCGCGCCGCGCCGCGCAATTGCTCCGTAATGAACACGCGCGTCGATCAATGTAATCATCAACGAGCGTCTAAGCTTTTCAGCCCGTCGTACTTACGGGCTCCACGCGCTCACCCGCCCACAATCGTTATCTTCGTTGCTTCGTCTTAAGAATAACTGCCCGGGGGTCAATTCTGTATCCTACGATAATGGGAAAATACTAAAAGTGAGCCGTTTTTTGCTACCCAGTGAGAGAGAAATGATTCATCGATCGATGTCGAAACGATATCAATTCGACATCGACAACGTCACATTGACGTCGATTCAACATCGTTTCGACATCGATCAACGAATCATTTCCTACTGGGTAAGAGGACGGTTAGAAAGAGACAAAACGGTGTAAGATACAGAATTGGTCACTTTGGCTCGAGGGGGAAACCGCTGACCAAAATCTTGCACACCAATGCCCACTAATGTTCCGTGGGCATTGCGTTATCTTATTATCTTATTTTATCTTTACAAAGTCCCAGCAAGGCCTAATGCCCAAACCAATGCCCAAAAATGCCTAGTAATGCCGCAAATCTGTACACCACAATGCCCTCAGCGGTTTCCTCCTCGCTTTGGCGACGACGCTGGGCGAAAATTCCGCCTTTTGTGTTTTTTTTTAAGAGAGGAATTGCGTGACGAATAGCACGGAGGAGAGATGATATATCGAAGTTGATCCTGCGGGCTGCTGGAGTATCGGCGAGCGATACGGGGAACTATTATACATAAAACTTATTCAACGAAACGAATATCCATTAATGTATTGCATAAAGCAGAGGTAATATGAGGGAGAGGCAGGAGGGACCCCGGCAATGAATCACTTTTAAAACCTCGCCCATGCTCCCGGGCCCGGGATATGCGGGCTGCTGGCCAACGTTGTTTGGGTTACGATACACTCCTCTTTTATGGAAATTTCGCGCTCTTTTTGCTCCCCCCACGTCTATCCGCGCTCATAACTAGTTTCTGCGAATAGCGCGCGCTTGCATAAGCGCAACCTGTGCGCCGTCAGCGTCCGCGACAGCTAATTAAAAGTTTATACATATTAATATCGCGCAACGGTCCTCCCCGCCGAGCCGTTTCACCTCGCGTTCGCTCTCGACTGATCGCCGCGAGGACGAGGTCGATCGTTCGTCTCGCCGTGGTGTGTGGATCACGGGAGAAAAACGCGTCGATACGGCGTGAAAGGCGCGCCGCTCGCGCTTAAAATAGCGATTTGTCCGCTGTCAATCCGTCTCCTCGGGACTTTCGATTTTCGCCGCGGCGAGGGAAGGTCGGGGTTACATCCGGGGCTCGTAAAAAGGAACAAGCAGCGAGGCGTAAGCGCGAGCCACCGGCAGCGCCGGCCCGCCGTGATATCGCGCGTTTCTTCGCAAACGCCCTTAGAGGTACGTAAATCAAAACGCGCGGCGAGATTTACGGCGAGGTATGGATAAGGTATGCGTTATGCTCCCTCGTTAGATGGCGAAACTGACGGCGGTCGGATGGTGTTGGGTTTTATATCAAATCGCGCGTTTCACGAGCATTCATCATAAATTCACCGTGCCGGCGACCCGTAGCCCCGCGGGTGCGGAGAGAGAAACAAGGGACGAGAAACGGCCCAGAGATTCGTCCGCTTGCCACTCGATGATCTTGCATCATCGTTCGAAAGAGTTTCCGCCCGTCGTTCGTGGAAGCGACTCGCCGAGAGATTTAGCTGTATGCTAACTCCGCGATAAGCACACT